AATTAATTACTAAATATAATATGTATAACCGTCATGATAATTTAAACACATATAAAAATGTTTGTGATCCGTATTATTAAAAATTAATTAATATATATTATATAATAAATTATAACTGTCATATTAATAAAAATTAACAATTAAAATTTAATAATAAAAAATAATAACTTTGGTAAATAAATTTCCCCCTATTTATATTCGGCTTTTTGACCTCTTTGCCCTTCATTAATTAATTAATAACCATTTTGCCATTTATCCAAAACTATCTATCAATCTGCCCCTCTTTAATCGATTAACTTGAAGATTTAATCGATTAAATGGTCAAAACTGGCAAAAATGGTTGACTGGAAGATTTAATCGATTAAATATCCCTCTTAATTGATTTAATCGATTAAATCTTATATTTAATCGATTAAATATCCCAAATGAATGTGAAAGCATTGATTGAATGAGACAAACACGGTTTTGGAGGTTATTTGAATTTTGAAATTTGAATTTTAAATTTAATGAAATAGGAGTTGATTGCAATTTGTATTTAATAGGAGCTGATTGTGTTTTGTATTTAATAGGAGCTGATTGCGTTTTGTATTTAATAAGAGTTGATTGTATTTTGTATTTAATAGGAGTTGACAATATGTAACCAACTCGTAAAATGGCAACTCCTAATAAAACGCAATCAGCTCCTATTAAATACAAAACGCAATCAGCTCCTATTTAAACACAAGTCGCAATAATCTCCTATTAAATACAAATCGCAATCAACTCCTACTAAATACAAATCGCAATCAACTCCTATTACATCTTGAAGATTTGATCGATTAAGAGGGATATTTAATCGATTAAATCTTCAAGTCAACCATTTTTGTCAGTTTTGACCATTTAATCGATTAAATCTTCAAGTTAATCGATTAAAGAGGAGCAGATTGATAGATAATTTTAAATAAGGGATAAAATAATTATTAATTAATTAATAAAGGGTAAAAGGGTCAAAGAGTCATTTATATTCCCTGCATTAATGTTTGTTGGGTTTCTAAAGAGACAAAAAGCAAGAAGCAGGAAGAAAAAACAATGCTACAAAAAAAGGTTAAGTTAACCTTTTATTCCCTCAAATTATGTTTACTGATGCATTTGTATTTCAAAAAAATAAAATTACATAGCCAATATATACAAAAGATATTATTTGCATAATAATCATGAAACTGATTTTAAAATTTTTAAAAAATCAAAAACAAAATTGGATTGAATCGGATCAGATTTTAAAAAAAATTTAAACCGAATGGATGATTACAAAGTATTGGATCAGATAATTTTTATTTCCAAAACTATCGATCTAATCCGGACTGAGAAGCCTCTATAAAAAGGCTACAAAAATTATAGACTCCATTAACAAAGTGACCGAATTTTCTCGTTTGACCCTTCGCTCTTGCTTCCACAATAAAAATCCAAATCATCAAGACTTGTAAAAAGGTTTCTGAAATCTCAGCTACCGAGTGCGCAATCACTAGGATCTGCCTTAAGCCAAGTGGGTTCTTTTTCTTCTGTTTTGTTTGCATTTCATTCTAGGGTTGTTGCTCTTTTTATCCACCCCATTATAAGTAGACATGTATGATTATAAGACCCACAATTTATTTTGTTTTTAAGGAAAATTTTTGTAAAAAAAATTGTCTGTTCCGTCTTGATCCGTATCACAAATATGAGAGTTTGAATATTATATTGCAATCGATTGTTACATGCTATGCCTTTATCGATTGTCATGTTTTTTAATTGAATTTTTGATTTGATTTAAATTGAAATTTGCATCTCGATTTGTTTTATATCTCAATTTGTTTTCCATCTCGATTGTCGTGAATTGCTTCATATATGTTGCAGTGTTTGTTACAATTCACATCTTGATTGGGTTTGGTACGTCAATCAGCATATATTTGAGTTGTCTTATCCCAGATAGTCATGATTTACAAATTGTTTTATTATATATATTGTTTTATTGAAAATCGCAAACCTCTTTATATATATTTGTTTAAAAAAAAACAAATAAGGATTTACAAATCTTATCATAGTGTCGTGATTTTGATTTACGTGAATATATATTTCATAACTGAAGGTGAGCACAGCTTGTTAATCTTATCTGAGTTTTAATTTTTTTTTTTTTTTTAAAAAATTAAAAAAAAATGGAATTTGGCTGGGGGTTTATGTGCTACCCTATAGTAGGATATCTCAAACTTTGATATATTTGTTATCCTTCAGTTTGTTACACTTGAATTGGATATAAGTTTGTTGAATTTGTTACACCTGTCAGACTTCTATTTGTTACAATATGTTATGGTTATATTTTCTATAGCAAGTTTAGGAGATAATTCTTGGAGGCCCTATAGCGTGTGAAATCATGCTCCATTTTCGTGATATTATATACGGTATACTCTGTGCACACCTATAAATAATACCTTGTCACATTAAAGTAAGGTGAATTGCTTTTATTTCACTGTTGATTCACATCTCGATTTTCATGAATTTGTTCAACCTTTTGTGACACTAACTATGGTTTGCAATTTTTTACATTATTACAAAATCAATTTCAGTATTTCACATCTTTGGTTTTAATGAAACTTTGCATTGTTGAACTTTTCGTGATTCGTGAAATTTTGGTTTAAATGAAACTTACATGAATTTTGGTTTTGAGGGTACTGTTCATGAAACTAGTGAATTGTTTCATTTTTACTTAATGTCATTTTATCGTGTTTTTCGTGAAATGATCTGTGGCGTTATCATTTATTGTTCCATAGGTTTAGATTGTTCTGACAGTTTAGATTATTGTGATTAGTTTACTTGAAAAAAAATTTAGTGGCTATATTATTTCGTGAAACGTGCCTTCAATGTCACATCAAGTTTTTCATGTTTAATGGCCATTTACTATTAGTTATAGTAATTGGAATTTACATTTGCGTGACACTGTTAGCTATTGGCATTTGTTTTATTTTCTCCGATAACTTAGATATTAATTTTGTTAGCATTCAAATTTGAAATCCAATAAGATTTCCTATTACTGTTTTGCATTTGGCTATTAGTGAAATATTTGTTTTCCTGTGTGAAACTAGTTAATTGAGTTCACTTTTGAAATTAGTGTGACATACGAGACATCTCAGTTAACGTGAAAGGTGCTTTGCTGATAAATAAATTCACATTTGAAATTCTCATAATATTATGTTATTGAATTCTTTATGAAATTATTGATATTGCTGATTTTTTATTAAACTTATGATTGGGCCTTTAAATTATTGGCCTTATTAGTTAGTTTTCATATAGTGCACCTTCAACATCTTTACTATGCGTTTCAACTGAAGTTTAAGCTTTGTAAAAGCTAGTATGTTATTTGAATTTTTTCTTGGCAATTAAAATAAAAATACAGAAGGCTTAAGTGACATGCAATATATACATATGCTTTTATGATGCACAAAGTTAGTTGTTATTATTTTCGAAAACCAGTGGTGTTAATGGCACGATTTATAAGTTTGTTTTGACTGATTTCTATTTCTGAAATATTTTGGATTGTTAGCGTGAATTGTGGTATATTCAGATTTGCATATTAATATATAGTGATTCTTGAAATTCATTCAGACTTTCAGTTACTGTTTCACATTTGGCTTTTAGTAAAACAATTGGTGTTGTGAAATAAATGGATTATCATTTTTATTAGATCGGGTCTCACATTTGCATATCCATATAGGTTGAAACTTTTGATTGGGCCCCTACATTTTAGAATTTAACTTAATACTATTCATGTTCTGTATAAGTTTTGAGATTCCTAAAACTGATACATTGTTGTTCCAATATTTAATTAGTTAACATGAATTCATCCTTTTGGTTTTTATGGGAACTACGCAATTTTTGACTTTTGAATTATTTCACTGTGGTGGAATATTATTGGTCTATGTTTTAATTTCTCTTATTTGGAATTGTGTAAACTGAATTTTGATTCAGATTTGGTGTTGACATTAGTTTTGTTTATTGGACTATAAATTTGGGCATGTAAATTATTGAACATTTGATTTTTATTTTAGTGAAAATTGTTTGGACTTTTGCATAGTTTTGTGAAATAAGTTCACATGAGTATGTCTCATAATTAATAAACTTGGTCCCTTTTGGGATATTTTAGTGGGTTTTCACATTTCACATTTTGGATATAGTGAGATTGGTTTCATATTTCATTTGGCTACATGGTTCTTCAATGTTTTATTTAAATTGGGACATTTATGACTTGTTCACCATCAATGGTTTTTGGCAGTGCGAAAACATTGTTGCCATATTTTTAGTCTCATTGATTGCAGTGTATTGCATTGTGACTTGTGATTGACAATAGAATAAATGCAATTAAGCATATTTTGCATTGAGATTTTTTATTGTAGCTTAACATATAAAAATTAATATTTACTCTATTTTGGTGGTGCAATTGGATCATTTTATTGAATAAAATGGAGTAAAACTACTGTATAATTTGGCATTAATTGCATGTGACAAAAGGAAATTAAATGGGTATAACGAATTCTGAACCCATGACTGAAGGTTAATATTTATGCACCGTGTGAATTAAATTAGGCATGTTTTTATGTCATGTATTATAATGATTTGATTGTATGTGTTAATTAAAGTTTCATTATACATACAATATTGAGATGAATAATTTGAATATTTTGGTATTATTGCTTATGGTTTGAAGCAATAATTCGGGTTTGGAAATTAATGTCAAGTGATCCATATAATTTCATTTAATTAGGGATTAGCCTTAACACCCTTAATTATTTCAATTATATATTGAGAGTCTTTGGATCACAGAAATGGTGTGACATTAGTTGTAATTCATCATACAAATATAATAAGAATTCTTGTATGATTTGTTGTGACAAAATTTGTTGGATTGACAAATGCAATATAATTTCTAGAAACACATGGTGTGAAGTGTTTCATGTTTCTTAACCTTTGAAATCTTCGTTTATAGGGGTGATTTTGTTGATGGGTGCTTGCTTTAGCAATCGGATTACGGCTGTGAGCCCTTCCATTACAGGTCACCTTCTTATTTTTGACTTGAATCTTCATTTTTTTGTTTTCTGTCAATATGTGAATGAGCTAATTATTCTCCAGATTTTGGTTCTGTCAATATGGGATTGATTGTCAGAGTTAAAATTGTTAACTTTATGGATAGTTGTGTCGTCATGTCCATGTATCCTACTCTATGGAACATGCTTGAGATCCTTGCAATTTAAGGTTGCTATGTCTTTTCTGATATGTTGATCCGTGCTTCATAAAAAAGGAGTTTGATTTGGGAGACCCATTGGATTGTTAGACTCTAGATTTGGTCCTTAATGTGAATTGTAGTTTTTCTATCCCCTTGAAATTCCCACTCAGGGTCAGTTTGGTATGGGAGTAAAAATAGGGGTGAAAAGTCTTTGGATGAGTTTTCAATACAATTTTAGTAATAAAACAAATCGTTGAATTTTTCACCTTCGTTTTTAACCCCATTCCGAACTGATCAGAGGTAATGTTTTCTGTAAGATAATTCCTCCAAAATGTAATCTGAGTCCGAGGGAAATTCTTGTTAAGACAACATAAGGATAATTCTGGGGTTTTGTGGAAGTCCATGTAAATTTGGTATTATGAGTGATGACTTTGTTTATTATAAGGCCAATGATGGTGAGTGAGTCCTTCTTAAGTTGATTTTCTTGGCATTGATGTAGGGTTCACTTCTAGAAGTGTAAGCAGGAGTGGCCATGACATCAGCTCAAATAGCAGTAACTCATCAGCCTCCATATCTGTCACTTCTAGAAGTGAGGGTGAGATCTTGCAATCTTCCAATTTGAAAAGCTTCAGCTACAGTGAACTACGAGCAGCCACAAGAAATTTTTGCCCAGATAGTGTCTTAGGGGAGGGTGGATTTGGTTATGTTTTTAAGGGCTGGATTGATGAGCATTCACTTGCAGCTACCAAATCAGGAATCGGCATGATTGTTGCTGTAAAGAGGCTTAACCAAGAGGGCTTCCAGGGTCATAAAGAATGGTTGGTCAGTATCAATTCTTCTCTGGATACTCCTTTAGTTTCCTCTCTGATGCATATTATTCTGGCTTCAAACTTTATTTCATTGTATATTAACAAAATTCTAGGCAACTACTAGCTTTTTTTGGATACTCTTTCATTTTCCCGGTATGATCTCGTTTGGGGGATTCTCTGTGGAACTGTATGTTTATTCTCATTTGATCTTATTGGCATTGTTGGCCAATTCCTGTAACTTTAATAGCTCACTTTGGAAGGACTTGACTATGATACTGAAGTTCAATCATTTTCTAAGAATAAGAAAACGTTAAAACATATAAGTTTATGTGCATGCATGTTATTGCGGTAACATAGGTATTCAACCACTTCAATTGAACATTATATATACTCCATCTTACCGCAATTGAAGTTGAAGGGAATGAAAATTTTAAGGAGGTAAGATGGAGTATATATAATGTTCAATTGAAGTGGTTGAATACCTATGTTACCGCAATAACATGCATGCACATAAACTTACATGTTTTAACGTTTTCTTATTCTTAGAAAATGATTGAACTTCAGTATCATAGTCAAGTCCTTCCAAAGTGAGCTATAAAGTTACAGGAATTGGCCAACAATGCCAATAAGATCAAGTGAGAATAAACATACAGTTCCACAGAGAATCCCCCAAACGGGATCATACCGGGAAAATGAAAGAGTATTCAAAAAAAGCTAGTAGTTGCCTAGAATTTTGTTAATATACAATGAAATAAAGTTTGAAGCCAGAATAATATGCATCAGAGAGGAAACTCAAGGAGTATCCAGAGAAGAATTGATACTGACCAACCATTCTTTATGACCCTGGAAGCCCTCTTGGTTAAGCCTCTTTACAGCAACAATCATGTCGATTCCTGGTTTGGTAGCTGCAAGTGAATGCTCATCAATCCAGCCCTTAAAAACATAACCAAATCCACCCTCCCCTAAGACACTATCTGGGCAAAAATTTCTTGTGGCTGCTCTTAGTTCACTGTAGCTGAAGCTTTTCAAATTGGAAGATTGCAAGATCTCACCCTCACTTCTAGAAGTGACAGATATGGAGGCTGATGAGTTACTGCTATTTGAGCTGATGTCATGGCCACTCCTGCTTACACTTCTAGAAGTGAACCCTACATCAATGCCAAGAAAATCAACTTAAGAAGGACTCACTCACCATCATTGGCCTTATAATAAACAAAGTCATCACTCATAATACCAAATTTACATGGACTTCCACAAAACCCCAGAATTATCCTTATGTTGTCTTAACAAGAATTTCCCTCGGACTCAGATTACATTTTGGAGGAATTATCTTACAGAAAACATTACCTCTGATCAGTTCGGAATGGGGTTAAAAACGAAGGTGAAAAATTCAATGATTTGTTTTATTACTAAAATTGTATTGAAAACTCATCCAAAGACTTTTCACCCCTATTTTTACTCCCATACCAAACTGACCCTGAGTGGGAATTTCAAGGGGATAGAAAAACTACAATTCACATTAAGGACCAAATCTAGAGTCTAACAATCCAATGGGTCTCCCAAATCAAACTCCTTTTTTATGAAGCACGGATCAATATATCAGAAAAGCCATAGTAACCTTAAATTGCAAGGATCTCAAGCATGTTCCATAGAGTAGGATACATGGACATGACGGCACAACTATCCATAAAGTTAACTACTTTAACTCTGACAATCAATCCCATATTGACAGAACCAAAATCTGGAGAATAATTAGCTCATTCACATATTGACAGAAAAAAAATGAAGTTGCAAGTCAAAAATAAGAAGGTGACCTGTAATGGAAGGGCTCACAGCCGTAATCCGATTGCTAAAGCAAGCACCCATCAACAAAATCACCCCTATAAACGAAGATTTCAAAGGTTAAGAAACATGAAACACTTCACACCATGTGTTTCCAGAAATTAAATTGTATTTGTCAATCCAACAAATTTTGTCACAACAAATCATACAAGAATTCTTATTATAATTGTATGATGAATTACAACTAATGTCACACCATTTCTGTGATCCAAAGACTCTCAATATATAATTGAAATAATTAAGGGTGTTAAGGCTAATCCCTAATTAAATGAAATTATATGGATCACTTGACATTAATTTCCAAACCCGAATTATTGCTTCAAACCATAAGCAATAATACCAAAATATTCAAATTATTCATCTCAATATTGTATGCATAATGAAACTTTAATTAACACATACAATCAAATCATTATAATACATGACATAAAAATATGCCTAATTTAATTCACACGGTGCATAAATATTAACCTTCAGTTATGGGTTCAGAATTCGTTATACCCATTTAATTTCCTTTTGCCACATGCAATTAATGTCAAATTATACAGTAGTTTTACTCCCTTTTATTCAATAAAATGATCCAATTGCACCACCAAAACAGAGTAAATATTAACTCTTATATGTTAAGCTACAATCAAAAATCTCAATGCAAAATATTCTTAATTGCATTTATTCTATTGTCAATCACAAGTCACAATGCAATACATTGCAATCAATGAGACTAAAAATATGGCAACAATGTCCTATATGCCGCTTAAAGGACATTGAAAATGGAATGCATGTACCCTTACCAAAGACTGCTATTTTTGTGCCAAGGACTTGCCAAGCACCATGCTCAGCGAGCACCTTGAGAAAAGACTTTTTAGTCGTCTCATGCATGAGAGAGAAGATAGGGCAAAAGTTGAAGGGAATGAAAATTTTGAGGAGGTAAGATGGAGTATAGATAATGTTCAATTGAAGTGGTTGAATACGTATGTTACCGCAATAACATGCATGCACATAAACTTACATGTTTTAACGTTTTCTTATTCTTATGCAAGAAAGTAAATTGAAAGTAATAGTAAACTAATAATCTTCCGTAAAAGAACTCCAGTACTAAGAAACATGCAAAATATTATTCTTCTGATATTATTGTTATTGATCTTTATCAATTGTTTTTTCCTATATCCTTTTATAAAAAAATATATATAAAAATATATATTTTCTGATTTGCCATGTACTACTCCAATTTGCCAGGTTTTAGCAGCAGAACATCTAACTGTTAGAGTAGTATTATCTGTTGACAAACAATTGAAAGTGAAGAACGAGTTTCGGGACATCTTTTTGGAGGAAAACTATCCTGCTGAGTTCCCTTATAGATCAAAAGTAAGTACAAAGGTTAATATATGATTCATGCCAGGAACATTGAACAAGAAAGTGGAGGAGACTATGAAAGGGAGTTGAAGAAAGTGACAAAAAGAGCTTTAAAGGCCATGGGATATGTAAATCCTTCAAAAGGCACTGCCAAAGACATTCTAGTGATGCAGAAAGTATGTATTCCTTGTCTTTCAACTTGATCCATTTGTTAAAGTAGCTCTTCATAGTTGAATCTGCTTAAATAGCTTCAGCGTGTTATTTGAAAAATCTCCCTCATGGAATTTGAGCTAGTTATTTAATGAGATGCTGAATAACTCTTTAAGATTAGATGTAGTCGCGATAGTTTGCAAGGCTTAAAGAGAAGTCAAAGTTCAAGCTTTCATAATGAAGGGAATTAGTGCAATACTTTGAAGGATTAAGTTGTTAACTTCTTGGAATCATAGAGCTATAAGTTGTTCTTCATGAATATCATAACCATTCTTCCGCATGTTTTATACAGTGTCCTGCCCTCTTTCGTCCTATCCCACCTTTTATACCTTCCGGAGGGTAGTTTTGTGATGAGTAATTGATGTGTTAGATTTTGAACTAGTTATGGAAAGGTGTGATAAGTAATTTTAATGGTTAAATTCAACTTCCCTCGTTGTTCAACAAGAAAAGAAATGCAATCTCCCTTTGTATTTTCGTTGGTCCGTAAAAATCAAAGTGTTAATTTTTTACCATCCAATTATCCCTGTTACTAACTTAAAACTTAGTTCATCAAAGTGAAAGACCCTTATTTCATTTAATGGTTTCTATACGTCTTCTGTATTAAAATAAAAGTTTATAATCCATACTCATTGGAAATGTAACATCCCGTTCTAGAACCAATTTGTTAACATCACGTATGGCATTAGGCGCAGTTACAATCACAACAATTGAATTAAAGTACGGATAAACTTTTTCCTTTTTGCGTTAGTGAACGTTTATATTTAAAATCAAATCTGTAATTAAAACAATTCCAATAGCATCATAACTTAAACTATGTGTGGAACACCTAACGTAATTTTATTTAAACCATACGTTGCTACCCTAGTGTGCCAAGTAGTCCCCTTAGACCAACAAGGCTTATAAACTCATTTTTTTTTGTTATTAAACACTAAACATCTCCACTCTTTATTTATTTAAGAAATTCCTATACTACTTTTATGGTCCCCATCTTCCAATATTTTATATATCTCTTCTTTATCTACACGTAGGTTCAAACTGCGCTCAAATCGGAGCACTGTAGCCCAAGTTATGAATTTTCTACGAAACGAGTGTTGAACCAACTGGGCCCGGCGCAATTAGCGCCACTAAACAGAAGCTTTCCAGTCATTTGGCGCGAATGGCGCCAAAAATGCATTTTCCCACTGTATCTTGGCGTGATTAGCTCCACCTCGGCGCTAATAGCGCCAAGGTTCTGGAGATTATACCTAGCCTTAGTATTTTACCCCTAACTGGAGTTATACTTATCTGATCGATGCCATCTTGGTCTCGTTGGAAAGCTAAGAAAAAGATCTAAAACTTCCATCAAGGCACAATGGTCCAAATATATCATATAGGATATGAAAAATGGGAAACAAGACATGAAATCTTTATTTTTACATGGATTTTCAACCTAGAGGTCTTCTTTCACCTAATGGACAACATACAACCACTTTAATACATAATTCTTAGTCATTTCAAGGTATACATGTATCTAAAGAAGGATTCATGCCCTTCCATCACATATATATACAATAAGCACAATATTCAAGTGTCTCTAATACATAATCATGGGACTTAGATACAAAACACTATGATCAAATCTTTGGCTCCATCAACAAAAGAGATACCAAAGGAGATGAGCATAGGCTAAGTCCATCAAAATAGAGCATGGCATACATATAACAAATGGCTTTCAAATAT